TTGATTTTGGTGAGTTAGAAGGAAAGTTAATTCATCCATTTTTTCATCCTTCTTATTTTTCTTCCTTACCAAACATGATGTTTTATTTATCTCTCAAACTTTTCATCTTTCAAACTTTTCATCTTTCCATTTTTTTCATTATACCAAACAGATAAGTTTTAAATACATGATAATATAAACTATATAAAAGGGGGAAATTTATAGGCCGATTCCCCTATATGTACTTATTTGGACTTAAGTCCGCCAAGAAAACTTATTTGTTATTAAGTCCGTTTTTTTATCAATTTTATTAGATTATCTCTTACCTTGAGAAGTGAAATAAAACTAAAAACGAGTTTGACTATATATATATATATATATATATAGTAACATTAAAAATAAAAGATAATAACATTTAAATACAAAAAAAAGTTATCAATTAAACACAAAAAATAATAACTTTTAAACACAACAAAATAGTAACATTTAAACATAAAAAAAAAGTAATATTTACTATTAATATTTAAAAAAATAACAATAGTAACATGTTTAACAAAAATAGTAACATGTTCAACAAAAATAGTAACATGTTTTACAAAAATAATAACATATTCAACAAAAAAAAAATAATATGGAACATTAAACAAAATTGAAAATAAAAATAGTAACATTCAAACCCATAACCAGAGGAAGAAGTCTCCAAGTTTTCAAAATTTTCATTGTTTTTTGTATTCCTAATTTCAAAATACGATTCATTGTTACTAAATTAATTGATATAGATTTCAATTTTTTCGATATTTTGTTGTGCAATATAATCGAAAAATACTTGATTGTGTTACTTATAGGAAAAAGTTGATGTTACTATGAAGGAAAAAGAAAATCATTTTTACATATTCGATGTCTTGACATTCACAAGTGGTGATGAATGTCCTAATTCAACTGACAATTATGTATTACTACTCTAAATAATGTAATTTTTTTATTTATGGATCGCATTTTATGAAAAGTAAGGAAAAATTATTGTTAATGTAAAAGAAAAAATATTTTATTGAGGTCACTGTGTAAAAAAATTTCTCGTTAATGTTATTGTGCAACATATATCCTCTTGAGTTTTGTTGAAGTCGTTGTGTTACTGTACATAAAAATTTGATGTCACTGTAAAGAAAAAATAGATGTTACATTATGATTTGCAATTGTTATTGTGAAGGTTTGCATTTGTTATGAATGAGAAGATTTTCTTCTAAAGAGAGAGAGAGAGATAGAGAGAGAGAGAGAGAGTACAAATTTGAATTTCAATTTATGAGTAAATTAAGGGATATTAATTTCTAATTTAAAAAATTAATTTAAAGTTACTTTCAAGGTCTTTAAGATTTCTATAATTGAACACAATAACATTGTTAAGGGTATTTTTACGATTTAAAAAAATAGTGAACTTAAGTACTTATTAATAAGATAAAAAATAAATTTATTACCAAATAAATTTTCTTAACAGACTCAAGTTATTATAAGTCCATTCAGGAAGACTACGCCCTAATTTTCACTATAAAAAATCTCAATAAAATATACGCCTAACAACCAAATTTTAGATTCAATAGTGGGGCCAAAAAATATAGCCCACACATTTTGTTCCAACCATCAAAACTCAGTGCAGTAAAACAAAGACAATAAAAACAAAACTCTCTCCTCTCTCTCACACACACACACATAACTTTTCATCTTAAATTATACACCAAATCAAAACTCACATAAATATAACCCACTTAATTTTACAAACTTCGAACAAGAAAGAACTAAAATATCAAATTTTCATGTTGCAAATAAGTGTGACAAATCAAACTGTATTGTGTTTATATTTTTTATAATTTTAAGCTCATGTTATATTCTGTAATTATAGATACCATATGGTTATTTAGAACTAATTTGTTGATTATGAATTATAAATATGACAACTAGAAAAAAATTATCTAGATATAAAAAATATTTCTAAAAAAATGAAAAAATTTAAAATAATTGAATCTCAAAATGATCTCTTTATTCATGTTACCAAACAAAATGTTATAGGAAAATAAGTTAAAGTCATGCAAATAAACAATTAATAGATCCCAAAGAATAAGAAATAATAAAATAATACAAAAAAATAATAAAAATATTCACGATGAGAGTTAAACATGCAAAACAATTATCCTTGATACAAAATATACAAAAAAAATTGAGAAAATATTAGTAACAAAAATTTTAAAATTAATAAACTCTTACATGAGGTCAATCATATTACAAGAAAGGATGAGAGAATTAACGATAGAAACAATTGAAAAAAAGCCTCATTTATAAATATCGTTTTAGGTCTCAAGTTTTCTTGAAAGCTAGAAATAAATAGAGACAAATTATTATTTATTTGGGTCAAATTATAAATTAAACAATCTTATTTTTCTGTAACATTACAAATTAAAAGGGTAAATAATACACTTTACGTCAAAAGACCTTCAAAAGTCTTAAACTTTTTTGATTTTTGGACAATACTGTTGTTTTTTATGTAATTGAAGGTACAAAGTGAAATTTGTTAATCTTTAATATACTAAACAATGAGACTAAAGATCTTTTCGGTAGAAAATATCACTTATACAAATTAAATTGTAAACTTTGATAATCTTAGTCATGGCTTTAGTTATATAATTCTTCAAATAGCCGCCACTCCGGTGATCCGTGGGGGAATTCGTGTTTTGAGAGCAAAATCTTTGTATATTTACGCTCTTATTTTAAAAAATTCAAGAATTTAAAATTTTAATTTAGAATTCACGTTTTTATTTATATAGTTACTTATTATTATTTAAATTTTTATTTGAAAAGTATTGACTCATATATGAAGACTAGTTATTGCTCGTGTTTGAAGGCACTATATAACGAATAAAAAACTCTAATTATACTTGTAGACATTGTATAATAAATAAAAAATCTAAGTCTAGTTAAGGCTCCTACCAAAAAATACTAAGTAACACCAAAAAAAAAATGTCGAGAAAATGAGCAAAAAATTTGATTTTTATGATTTAATTTGATTAAGTATTGGATGGGAAAATAAAAATTAATAATAATTTTCAACCATTGTATCAAAATAGACATAATTGTGAGATGATATAAGCCGCAAAAATAAAATTTATTTTTATATCTTGGGGATTTAAAATTTTTTGTACTTTACTATATGGATAATTATTTTGTGATTAGAATTCAAAAATTATGTATATTAATATATATTTTAAAAAATAAATAAAATTGAAATACGCAATCACTTTGGCGGGCAGAAGTGATCCCAATAAGTACATACATAACTATTGTACACAACTAAAAAAACACGTCTCGTTTCAAGTGAAGCAACGGTTAAAAATTAGCACACATGGTTTATATGAGTGAGGACCAAACCCACCAGCAGCCCAAAGGCTTGGTGTGCCATGGGAGAGCATAAATTAACAATGATTTTTAACCATTAGATCAAAACAAACATAATTGTGAGATGATTTGATCCATAAAAAATAAAAATTATTTTATTTATATTTTATAATTTGAATTGTATGATATTTTTATTATATAGATGCACTAGTTATTGTCTGTGCCTGAAGACACAGAATAATAAAAAATGGTAAACAAAAAACATATTTGTATTCATATTTAAAATCAAATCACAAATATAGAGAAAAGATAAAAAAATTTAAGTATCAATTTTGTAGTGGGGGGTGAGAGGTGATGGACGACAGTGGTGGTAGTAGAAGACGATGATGGTTATGGTGGGTGACAATGACTCTGGTGGTGGCGAGGGCGCAAACGATAATGGTTGTGGTGGCGGGTGACGACGACAGTGGTGGTGGTAGTAGCAACAGTGGTGGTGGCGGTGGCGGTGATGGTGGTGGGGGCAGTGACAATGGTGGCGGTGGTGGTGGGGGGGCGACAGTGGTGGTGACAACGATGATAGTGGTGGCGGTGACGGTGGCGATGATGGCAGCCGCAATGGCGGCGACGGTGATAGAATTTGCCGTTAGATTAACTTTAAAGTAAAATTTAAAGCGATCTCAACCGTGAATAGCAAAAAGTCATTTGATTTATCTTTTGAGATTTGAATTATAAACTACTTCATTATATAAACTAATTATTGCTTGTGCCTGAAGACACAGAGTAATAGAAAATAATAACAATAAACATATTTGTATTCATATCCAAAATCAAATCACAAACATAAAAAAGAGATAAATGAATTTAAACATCGGTTTGTAGTGGAAGGTGATGGGCGACAATGGTTGTGATAAGAGACGGTGATGGTTGTGGTGGGTGACAATGACCGAGATGGCGTTGAGGGCGGCGACGACGACGACGACGGTAGTGGCGACTATTGTGGTGGGGGTGGTGCGAGTAGAGGTAGTAGTGGGACGGTTTCAAACATTATTTTTTTAAAGTATTATAAGAAATAATTTTTATAAGTATTTTTAAAAAGTCATTTCAAACACACCTTTAAGAGCCTATTTTTCCTATTAAATTTAAGGTGTTAATATTAACTGTTAGATTAATTTTAAAATAAAATTTAAAACGATCTCAACCGTGAATAACAAAAGTCATTTTGTTTATCTTTTGAAATTTGAATTGTAAGTTACTTTATTATATATATATCGAACTAAAATGATATTTGCAACCTATAAATGCTATTTCAAAACTTTATAATCAATATACATTTAAAAATTACAAAGTTTTTTACATAGTTGTATATGAAATTTAATTTTAATATATTATATTATTTTTATTAATTTTAATGGGTGAATATTTATCTTGATGTATATAATATGACCAATAGTATTTATTTATTTTTTCCGACCAAAAAAACTTATTATTAACGAAAAAGTATATTTTGAATTTATTGGTCACCAATTACAAATTTTAAAATTTTTTGGGCAAAAATGCTACACGTGGCATCCACCACCCCCACCAATAAATATCACCCTGCCTGCCATAACTGATATTATATAAGCACAAGCCACTGAACACATAGATACACCATCTTCAGAGAGAGAGAGAAAGATTGAGAGAGAGATGGGGAAGACGGAGGTGGAGGAGAGGACCGAGGATGGAGTGGTGTTGGTGAAACCAAGGCCAACGAAAGGCTTCACTTCCAAAGCTATAGACTGGTTAGAGAAGCTGATCGTGAAGCTAATGCACGACTCTTCACAGCCTCAACACTATCTCTCTGGTAATTTCGCTCCGGTTCCTGAAGAAACTCCTCCTTGCAAGGACCTCCCAGTCATAGGTCATCTTCCAGTGAGTTCAATTATCTAGTAATCTGTGTATTGCTCTCAATTTATAATCGTATTATTGTTTGTTCAGATTTGGTTAATTTTTGTTTTGTTTGGTGTTTCGTACTGGAATGTAAAGGTTTATTTGCGTGATATATTATACCGTTACTGTGATATGGTCGGTTTGGTTTGTTGCATCGAATTAGGAACAGTAAGAGTGGGGATTATCGTATGGGGAAATCGTGGCATACGCGAAAATTTATTAGCTTAATAGTAAGATCGTTCCTAAACAATTTGAAGTAACATTTTTAATTAATAAATTTTCTTTTGGTTTAAAATGCGGAGGAGAGAGAGAGAGAGAGAGAGAGAGAGAGAGAGAGAGCGGCCAGATACGCAGTTATGTGTGTTTGTGGGATGGTGATGATATTAAGGTCATGGGCAACTGAAAAAGGGAGACGCCTGGAGACAAACTCCAATAATTTTTCTCTATATCAATGGGTATAGTATATGGCTATATCTAGGGTGTCAATGTAGGGTTAAATGGTTATGAGTTGGGTCTGAGCAGGTTAGTGTGAAAAACCAGAAAATCGTAAAGGTCTCGATTAAGTAAAACGGGTGGAAAACTTCAAACTGAACACAATTCGTTTACTCAGCAGGCTACTTGACATGACTTGTTTAACCCTTTTAATATTATTATTAAATTAAAAAAATTATTCTGGCTAATTATCACCCACGAAGATCCTAAGCTGTTCAACTCGGATTCAGCACGGGCTCCTTTGATCAAGGTTTGGATCACGTTTCTTCTCTCAAAACGCTTGCCCATTTGTCCAACACCACGGATCGCACGAACTCACTGCGGCTTCTTTGAATTCCACTCTAGAACTCAAGGCAATCCAGATATAATTCACATTATGTGCTTTTATATTATAAAATGAGTTTATTTTTTAAGATGAAAAATGCAATATTTTATATCCATGTTTTGCTAACATATAATTGTCAAAAGATAATCTAACTAATTCATTTCATTTTTCACTAGACTAAGTTCAGTCCAAATCAATTCTACTATTGAAGCCAAATTACAGACTCAATACTTCCATTATCCGTAGAGGCCATATCTCTTATCTCTCCAAACAAATCTTTATGCTGTTTAACTTGTGTCCGACGCCACTGAGTTGTTGATCAGCACGAATTGCACCAACTCATCGTGGCTTCTTGAATTCCACCCTAGAACTCAAAGCAATCCATGCAATGGATCATTTTAAGAGAAACGACAATTTTGAGGTTTGATGATAACTTGGAAGGGATATTCACTAAAGCCTACATCGGTTTAGGTTTTGAAATCCATTTGGTCAAGAATGACCTAAATGTCTTCTATGAGTAATCTCTCTCGTTCTTGAGCGGTTGGTGTGCTTATATATCTTTTCAAGCTCCGGCAAGGTGTAAAACTAGTCACACCTCAAGAACTTTTAAGGTTTGTCTTTAAATAGGTAGGAAAAGTGAGGCACGGGTTTTGAAAAGAATTCCAACCAAATAGGAAATACAAGCCCATTACTTTTCTCAAGTGTCAAGCGAGTGTGAGCTTTTGGAATTTCAGAACACCTCAGTTTCGAGTGACAGTTTCGATAGTCACTCGAGCGCTAAAATTGCTTGCTCTAGCACCAATCATATCTTGCCCTCAATTTTGTCTTTCAAAATTATTTTTCTAAAGAAGTATATTTTCAAAACGTTTTTCTCAATAAAATCACTAGGCCAAATATGATCTCTCTGTAACAAATTTGGATCCAATATTCGAATTAAATTATTTTTATCACATATGAATCAATAGGTCTCTAAGTCATCTTACCTCCTACACCGCTGGGCGATACGATGAAGTTTTCCACAACTTTCTTTCATATTCAGCTTCGGTAACTGCAAATCTTTAATCAATGAATCACCGACTTAGATTTATATAGCCTTGACATTTTATGTGACTCATGGAATTATGCTAATACTAAAATCTCTAACCATGGTCATGCTAGTAAGACGATGTAATGAACTCACAAATGAAAAAAGAAGTTGCAACAGACACTGAGCTTACTGTTCCAACTTTAAGTGAGCCTAATGACAGCCAATGACCATCTAGCCTTTTATCTCTTTTTTCTAACGATTTTACTGATTTCAACCGCATAATTTTAAATATTTATGTTCATGATATCTGCCAAGAAGGCCTTGCAAGCTTAAGTTTTTTATGCTTTTGATGCCAAATGATGTGAAATCTAAATATTGCTTTTGCAGGAGTGCTTGAATGGTGAGTTTGTCAGGGTTGGTCCTAATCCAAAATTCACACCGGTGGCTGGATATCACTGGTATATTCCTTTTTCTATGTCAAATTGTTCTCAAGAAGAGATTGACATGTTTTATGTCCACACTTGGCATGCTTTATAAGCTAAAATGTTCCCTCTTATCTTGCTGCACTCTCTTTTTCATGAACTCTTTCCTTTCATCGTACTAGTGATTATTTATTATTAGGCTGCTGTTGAGAAATGTTGCTCCTGTGAATTGAGTATTGCTTGCTATGCTCATTCCCTTTGCTTCTATCTGTGCAGGTTTGATGGAGATGGGTACGTGTTTTTCATTCAAGACTGAGAATGTAGACAAGGTTTATTTCGAGTGATATGGAAGGAGAATTTCTACTATTTTACCCAACAATCCTATTTGGTCTCACTGCAAAGTTGCATTGTTGTCTACATGCATAGGGGCTTCAACTCCAACTAATATAGGAGTTTTATTGATTATATGGTCAGAATGACAGTCCACTCCTTCCCCTACTTCTCCCTTATAAGATTAACCAGTAAATCACCAGGCACATCTTGTATTCCATTGCTAAAGCTCCCATTACTTTTCAAATTAATTCAATCATTGACATGACACTAGTAGAGCTGCAGATGATCTGGGTATTCATGGACAGCTTGTGTTAGGCTTGCCTGAGAGCTTGTGTTTGTTTATACAGTAAATGAACCATGCTTGAGCCTATTTTAGAGCTCGCTAAATAAACGACTAATGCTCAAACATAAAAATGTTCTGTGTGTATAGGTTTGCCCTTGCCTAGTTTGCTGTATATAAGCCCAATTATATATACATAATCTTTGTTTTTAATTCAAGTTGCAATGTCCCATGTATATAACATGCATATCTGGCTGCATGTATGTATATGTAATATATTGGCTAAAAATCTCACATTATTATGCTGCTTTGGCATGAATATCAAGGAGATTGTTCAAATTTACCATAAATGTTTAAGGCTTCAGTTCAGTAGGGCTGGAGAGAGAGAGAGAGAGAGAGAGAGAGAGAGAGAGAGAGAGAGAGTAGTATTCTCCACCATGTTTGGTTTGATTTTCTGGCCATGGTAAGTTCGTCTATTTGTCTACTTTGTAGTGTTCCCTTTTTGGATTCTTTTTCATTGGATTTTTGCACATTTGGAGCTTACAATGGATGTGGGTTTTCAATCCATTTAAGATGTCTATGGCAGCATGAGTTTTGTAGATGGTAGATTCATGAGTGATTTCCAATTTGTTTCTTTCAATATTATGTTCGTGATTGAAGTTGAGTGTCCAAATAATTTGCTATTTGAGATTTATATTTTCTCTTTTCCTCTTTAATATCGAAGTATGCACTATGCAATATAGTTTTCTTCAACATTTATATAGCTGCAAGACGAGCAATGTACTGAAACATGGAGGAAAGAACTCCTCACTGTGTCAAAGGACTCAATTTGGGCAATTCTTTGGAGATATATTCATCAATGTGATTTTAGCAATGAGGGTATTTGATCAAGTTGAAGCAGAATGTCGGCCAATATCTTGTTATGACAATTAGGGAAAATCTGAGTCAATGTCTTTCATGCCAATAAGAGAAAATATTAGTCAATATCATGTCATAACCATAACTAGTATAAAAGCATGTGTGGTCTACAATTTGTCAGAGATAGCCAGTTCTTTTTATGACAAGCATTAGTCAGATAATAGCACATAAGTTCATCATTGAAAGAACTGGTATCCGTACATATTAGAAGCACAAGGGTATGTGTGTGTACTTGTGTCATGATATAACTGAGCATTCTTATTGATGGATAATAAGAAACTAAACTGGATGGTGTCATTGCTTTTTGCATTGGAATCTGCATTGTGATAGTGTGGGATTTGTATGATGTATTGTCAGTCTTTTCATTTCAGTGAATCACAAATTGGTTTTCAGGAAGATGACAATTGATTCCTTTTTATCGAAGATCATTTCCATTCATCTGTTTGTCGTATGCTAAGTGTTTGCATTCAAGCATTTTGTGATGTAGATGTGCAGGCTTCCTAATCATTGCAGAAATTTGCAGAGATTGACTGTTGTTAGGAATGCTATATTGCAAATTATCAGAACTTTCTCAGAAACCACTATGACTCGGATTGCTCTCTGTTTCTGCAGCATGATTCATGGTTTGCGCATTAAAGATGGAAAAGCAACCTATGTTTCCCGCTATGTGAGGACATCTCGACTTAATCAAGAAGAGTTTTTTGGAGGAGCTAAATTTATGAAGGTATACTCTGTTTACCTAGGTTAGATTTCTCCAATCGCTTTTCTTTTCTTTCCGTCCTTTGTTTCTTTCTTTCTTTTCTTCTTCTTTTTCCATTTTTACCTGCTTCCAGTTATCCTCCTTCAGTGGTGGAAGTTTTTCGGCTTGTACATCTGATCCTTTTTTCTGTTTGCCAGTGCTTCTTTAGGTCTTTTTTACTTTGCATGTATTTTTCATGGGAGATTCTGTCGAGTAGACAAAATCAACATTATTAATTTGTATTCAATGTACAAAGTGCCCCTTGAAGCATCTGGCAGACTAGTGGTTGGAGTTGGCATTATTTTTAAATTAAATACTTTTACTCGAATAATTGTAGTTAGTCAACCTGTTACCACAGAAAGGTGTAAAGGACATATTCTTTTCCTCGTTGCCCAAACTATAACCTCTTGATCTTTGAGTCGAGAGTAGACAAGACAAATAATGCTTATTTTTACTTTGTAGATCCAATTATTACTATTTTTTATGTTATTTTCAGATTGGAGATCTTAAGGGGCTCTTTGGATTATTTATGGTTAATATGCAAATGCTTAGGGCAAAGTTGAAAGTATTGGATACTTCTTATGGAACTGCGACGGGTAGGTTGATTAAAATATACTTCTCAAAATGCTACATATCATATTGTATTGTACACCTTTAACAAGTTCTTCCCTACAAATATTACGAATTATTAGCTGACAGCTTTTAGAAACATTGTATCGTATATCATCCTGTTATTTTTCATCATTGGCATAAAGAATTAACTGTTTGTCACTTTTATCCAGCTAATACAGCTCTGATTTATCATCATGGAAAGCTATTGGCACTTTCAGAGGCAGACAAACCTTGTAAGCTTGCTGCCTTTCTTAGTTTTCACAGAAACATTCGAAAATATAGATGTGTTTTCACTTGAGAGTGGCTGGTCAGCAGAATGCCTACTCAATCATTATGCGAGAAATAAGGAGAAACCAGCAATCTAAGCATGTAGTATAACCTTAATTGAAATCCACAAGATAACTTGATGCATGAACATCTAAATTGATCTCCATTCTCCATTATGCAGATGTTCTTAAAGTTTTAGAAGATGGAGATCTTCAAACACTTGGCATGTTGGATTATGACAAGAGGTTGGCACATTCCTTCACTGCTCATCCAAAGGTTGACCCATTTACCGGTAAAATTCATCATCCAAAAATAGAATTCTGGTCAAATGGTATTTTATTTGTTCTTACTGTTTTTGTTCACGAGGAATCCTTCATGCAGGCGAGATGTTTACATTTGGCTATTCACAGACACCGCCATATATCACATACAGAGTGATTTCAAAGGATGGAACCATGAATGATCCTGTGCCAATTACGATACCTGAACCTATTATGATGCATGACTTTGCGATTACTGAAAATTATGCAATTTTCATGGATCTTCCTTTGTACTTCAGACCGAAGGTATTATCACTTTTGTTTTGTAGCACATGAACTCACTATTGTACAGAACACCTCGGATGTAAATAATTTAGTTGCCTCACTTTCAGAGAACAAATCCCTCCTAACAACTTATCTTTTTCCTTTCTTTGGACAATAGACATGAATACTGGATTGATATGCAAGTCTTCACAGGATAGGGTATCTGTGTGTTCTACACTAATACACTAGAAACAAATCTGTCTTTTTCAGTATTTTGGTAAGAAGCTTGTAGGATATTGCTCGTTAGATGTATATGTAAATGACTTTCATGCAATTATAAATGTAGTTAACTATGGTAATCAGTAAACCATATAGCTTCCAGCATGTTTTGTTGGTTATAGTTCACTGGTTTCTGATTTCAACCTTCTGCATTAGAATAATCATGGCTCATGAAGCTTGACTATGCATGGGGATTTAATGTTTAGGAAATGGTGAAGGAGAAAAAGTTCATATTTTCATTTGATGCGACTAAAAAGGCTCGTTTTGGGGTCCTTCCACGGTACACAAAGAATGAGCTCCTGATCAAATGGTTCGAGCTTCCAAATTGCTTTATATTCCATAATGGTGAGACAGTTGCTGCCGATCTCTCTTTAAAGCCTGAAAATTATATTGAGGAAAAAACATTTTGAGAAGTGCAAAAAGTAGTTGTAGTCATTGATACCAACGTGTGAGATTCAACTATAGTTACAATGCTGGGAAAATAATGGTGGCTTCTTTGATAGGAAAAACAAGTATGAGCTGTAGATAATTTTACCAACTTGATACAAATAACTTCACTAAGTTCCACAGGTAGGAGAAGGTACTGTCTCTTAAAAGATTCAAAAACTTTATTTACATATAACCAATCATGCTCTCTCTCTCTCTCTCATTTGCACTTGTGTGTGAGAACTGTTTGTATGAGGTTACACAAGCTTGCCGATCATAGTTCATTATTGGATGACATACCTTGTATGTTGTCCAAATTAGTGTGGCACCATATTTCTCTCATTCCGAGTACTTTTTTTCAACAGAACCTCATTTAGATCTTATGTATCTCATCAACTGTACGCTGACAAGACTTCAAATATCTAAGGCATTACAAAATAAAAAATAAAAACTTTGTTGAAGATGAACGTTCTATAGCTGCCATCAATTTTTCGTAGCTGTGATGCCACCAATTTCTTTTCCTGGATACAATATAATTGAAAGATGAATCAAAAACCTTGACCAATTCCATCTAGAACTTGCTTGGGCTTTGAGGTCAATTAGTAAAATACCTCAGTTTGTCTGGTTTCACTTCTGACATCTGCAGTGTTTTTTTTTTTTTTTCTCTCTTTCTTTTTCACAAACCAGCCAATGCTTGGGAGGAAGGGGATGAAGTTGTTTTGATCACTTGCCGCCTTCAGAATCCAGATTTAGATATGGTTAATGGGGTCGTTAAAGAAAAGCTCGAGAATTTCACAAATGAGCTGTAGGTCACTGCTTCTGGGGATACAGTAACAATATGCACATCTTTTTTTTTTTTATCAGAACAATATGCACATCTCTAGTTGTTACATATTGTGGTTATACTTGTCAGGTATGAGATGAGATTCAACATGAAATCTGGTCTAGCTTCACAGAAGAAATTATCCGCATCTGCTGTAGATTTTCCAAGGGTGAATGAAAGCTACACTGGGAGGTGTGTGGCTTTTTGTTTTTCGTTAGTAAGAGGATAATCAGAAGTGAGTAAAGAAAGCAAGGTTAAGGATTAGTAACTAAGATGAATAAGTTCGGGTCTGAATGATCATATATTAATCTCATCTGGCTATTATTGCTGTAATCAATGTTTAGGGAAAAAATCATTACCCAATTTGGTCCGCGTCCATTGAGCTGCTAGGATGCATTACTTATCCTGGATTAGATTATTGTCATCATTTTCTTAGAACCTTCTAATTTCTATTAGCATCATAGTTTCAGCATCATCGTCACTGATTAAATTCTGAAAATTTAGGAAACAACGATTTGTATATGGAACCATGCTGGACAGTATTGCCAAAGTCACTGGGATAATCAAATTTGATTTGCATGCGGAACCAGATACCGGAAAAGCAAAGCTTGAAGTTGGAGGAAATGTTCAAGGCATCTTTGACCTAGGAGCTGATAGATTTGGTTCAGAGGCTATTTTCGTTCCTCGTCAGCCTGGTATTACTTCCGAAGAAGATGATGGGTACTTGATATTTTTTGTACATGATGAGAAAACCGGGTACTTATTCTTTCTCTCTCTCATACCATTTTTTATTATAAATTCTTAAACATCAGCCATTGAGTTACCCAAACCCTATCATAAGAATGCCATGGAATGATTATGATGATACGGTTGATTGTAAACTTGATTTTGCAATTTGCTTACCATTGGTGAGGCTTAGAAATTTATTAGGCACCTATCCCTGAATCTCACAATTGCTTTCTTGAACACATTATCTGACTAAAACTGTTGAACCTCCTGTGCTTTTCGACAATATTTGAGAATCTTCATCAATAGCGGATGTATTCATTTATGTTCACTAACTTTACTATTAAGGTTGAAGAATTCAGTACCCATTATTTCAATTATTATGCTAGTCATAGTTGTCAAATCGTGTATCAGAAGAAAACGTATCGTTTTTCAAAAATAACAATTTTAATTTTTAAATAATTATTAATAAAATATATATATACTTTTGTAAAAAAGTCATTGACTCCTAATAACATTGCATTTCATTAATATTCTACTAACTATTCAAGTTCCCAACATAGTTCTGTAATATCAAAATACAAAGACCTCTAATTCAAACTTCTAATATCAACTGCTTGAACAATTTTAATATTAATCAAGAATTTTGAATTCAATTAAACACATTAACAACAGACTTTATTTTTTTTTTTAAATCATAACCATTAAAACGACGTTGTTTCACTGGTTAGTGATTTAAAAATAAGTCCTCTGGTAAAACGATATCAAAAAAAAAAAAAAAAAAATCGTCGCGTATCGTACGCAACGTATCGTGTATCATACATTCGTATGATACGGTGCAAAAACGATACAAAGACATGATAGATATCATTTTTCAGGTGTATCGTGACGTATCGTATGATATGTATCGCGTATCGTACGATACTAATAACTATGATGCTAGCGATTTTTTTTCCCTGATGGCATATTAGGCTGGGAATTTGTTTTGACAAGGATCATGCATTTCCCAGAAAATCTGTTTCAGAAACCAGGACAATACTTCTACGCCATCCAAGGGAACATTTTGAAAATGTTTCAGATACATTTCATAAATCATAAGGAAACCTTGGGATAACTTCTACAAAACTTTCAATACAATTTATTCTATGATGCCAACAATTATACACTAATTCTTAAGGAACTTTTCTCGAGTTTTGTTTTTGACAAATTTAATTTGGATTCCTCATGCATATTTTCACGGGTCTCACATTAGTTTTATCGTAGTTTATTATATTTTTTCTTGATAAACTGTCAATATGATTCCATATACCCCTCCCACATCCCACAAAAACTTGGTTCCCGTTTCAAACTTCCGTTTTTGATTGGCAACTATATTTGCGGGTCAGTTGTTGATCTCCTATGGCCAATGCTGGATCATAAATATGTAACGGGTTAATAATATAACTATGGGTTCATGTTCTAATTCATGTGCCAACTTGATACCTGATCTGCATTGTAGCCATGATTTTATGAGTGGTGTCTGGAAGCATCTCTATATCACTTGGCATGCTTTTGCTTGTATAAATTGCATTATTTAAAAACCAGGCATTAGAGCTAATTCATTAGGATTGCTTTACCATGTTTCAAAAGGTTGCTTTAACCTTCAGTCTTTTCTCAAAGTTCTTGAATTTATAGATTTTTGTCCTTCTATGGCTATGCTATGTTGAGTTGACTGCAAATATGTTGTTTGCGAGCAAGTAGATTAAGGAGGTTCCCCCGCCCAAAAAGCAGAGAATAGAAACTAGGTCAACAATTACCAACTTTCAAGATTTGACCAAAAATAGGATTTAAGTTGACATGTGGCAAATTGGCAAGAGCACAAAAGTAGTAACTTGTCAAAGATCAGCCAAACCTATGCTCTCTAATGAATTCGATTTTTGTTTTAGTTTAAAGCCATGCATTGTGCACATCACCAGTACTGGTACTTGAGGTTATCTCCTGAGTCCTGGGTTTTTTCCCATTATTTTTCTCTTTTTTATTCAATTTTCCCTGGAAATCAAATTTGGAGATTAGTGGGGACGATGTAAACACATTCTGAATATCATTTCTTCAACTTATGCAGAAAATCAGCAGTGAATGTAATCAACGCAAAAACAATGTCAGCTAATCCTGTTGCAGTGATCGAGTTACCCCATAGGGTTCCCTATGGATTCCATGCCTTCTTTGTAACAGAGGTCAGTTAGGCCACTCTTCTCTCTCTCTCTCTCTCTCTCTTTCTCACACACACACACACACACACACACACACACACACACCAGAGGGAAGATTGATTGAGATGCCGTGAGTTTATGCCAAAGTGTGTTTTGTAGTATATATGTCTATTTACTGTAATGTATAAGACGAATTAGAACAAGAGAGACAGTTACTAATAGTGAAGCCATCTGTCGTCCTTCTCACTTATTGGAATGCCAATCGAAGGGTTTTTTTTCCCAAGATGGCATCAAATCTAGCGTTCCTGAGATTAAATTGGGATTAGTTCTGAGTGCCTGTCTAATGTTGCTATCTCGTGTGTTTCTCAGAAGAAAACTTTGTAGGTAAAGATGCCAAGCAATTCAGCCATATGCATCCAATTCCCTATTTAACACTGTCAAAGTTGAGACCTTAGATGTTTAGTGATTGAACATGTAGGTGATGAATTAGTGTTAAGTCATTGTTTCCCTTTCTATCTAAGAATCATTTTCAAGTTTTTCTGTTGATTTTTTGGTGATTGAAGTTGTTGAGCAATCGAAAAAAGTTGGATTGAGTCTCCCTACCTGTATTGCATGTGCTCCACTTAATTAAGACAAGATAAACTGCATTTGTTCCTATACTAGAGTGGATCTTGGAAACGACCTTAAAGGAACCATTTGGTGCAATGATAGAAAGTTCGGATGTCAAGTGTGACACCTTGAGTTTGAGTTTGAGTTTGAGAGCACACTTCCTCAAACAATGCTGGAAGTGGATCAATATTGAAAATTCTTGTGATTATATTGTCCTTGTCCATTTTCCTTTCACCTAATTCCTTCAAACTGTTACTTAAAATTTTGGTTGATGATATTTCACACAGGAACAACTTCAAGAACTAGTGAAACTCTGAATTTATATCACTGCAGCAAGAAGTTGAAATCGATGCCTGAAGGTAGGACTGTTTAAAGTAGAACTATGATTTCATCTATATACTCTGCCATTGTAGTAGCTACATATTGCTCTTGGGAAAAGTTATAATGTATCAGAAAAAACATATTTGAGTTATAGTAGCATATACCATCAGGACTGTACCCATCCAAAAGGGGTTGTTTAGATGTTATCCTGCATATACAGATTGAAGAAAGCCAATAATATCTTTTATCTGCTTTCATTTCCTCAAAAATTATGCATGACTATGGTTGTCTAGTGAAGAGAGCTGTCTCTCATTTAACCTATTCAGATCAAGGGCTAAATTTTCATTGTTTCCACCGCAATGACAGGAACATTACAGTTTTGTTAAAACCAAAACGAATTACACGACTGGAAGTCTCTTGTTTCGAAATATTTTGGTTTGTTTTGGAATGTTTCGTCCAGTATCTTGGAATGTTTTAAACCAAAATTTCTTTTTTTTTTTTTTCGAGTTTTTCTTGTGTTTCTGAAATATTTTCATAACGTTTTATTAGTTTTTGTGAACCGAATTTATCCTTGGTACATCTTGGATTTACACTTTTCGTTGTAATCTTGGAATGGCTTACATGGAAATTCATTGCATATCCCCCCCTCCCCCCACCCAACAAAATAAAGGAATCAAATTATGCCCATATTGCACTTAAATAGTGATGAAGGTTCTGCAAGCACATTCATGTGTGAAGTATAATTCATATGCATGACTTCTACATTGAAATTTACATCTTCATTGACTTGGAATCTTCTCTATCTTCAACCTCTATTCTATTCCATTTCAACAATATCCTTCATTTCTGATGTAATTGGCAATTTATTTGCTACTTTCTCATATTTTTGCCACATTTACTTGGCCAATTCAAACCCGCAATGTTAAGCATCTCATAATCAGTGTACCGAACAATTTCAGAAGAACCACAATCTTTCACAAATCCTTCAGAGAGTTCATTAATANGCTACTTTCTCATATTTTTGCCACATTTACTTGGCCAATTCAAACCCGCAATGTTAAGCATCTCATAATCAGTGTACCGAACAATTTCAGAAGAACCACAATCTTTCACAAATCCTTCAGAGAGTTCATTAATAACCAATCGATAGTTATAATGAATTTCAAATAAAACAAAAACTAGGTTATGTAAACCAACATACAAGAATGCATACAAGTGCATTATCCAATCCTATGNTTAATAACCAATCGATAGTTATAATGAATTTCAAATAAAACAAAAACTAGGTTATGTAAACAAACATACAAGAATGCATACAAGTGCATTATGCAATCCTATGGGGAGATTTGTTCTGTTACCAATTAGAGAAACGCATATCTGGTAGTTCGTTCTTCACGATTATACACGTGAGATTAAGACACAATTTAGGGGGTGAATGAATAGGTTAAGTCTAATTTTAAGTTTGAACAATCACCAAAAAAGTGGCATTCGGTGTACACTTGTCAGTCTCGGTAGTGCCTAATCAATAGACTATGGTTTCGATGGAGAAGAAGAATAATCGAACAGCTGAGCTGGCTGCTTCGAGTGGTGGAGCCCTTCTTTGGCGGTGGTTATTGAATAAGTCTCTGTTCTGGTGAGAGTTTCAATTACGCTCGCGAGGTTCTTGGCAAGACGCCGCATATCAGGNAGTCTCGGTAGTGCCTAATCAATAGACTATGGTTTCGATGGAGAAGAAGAATAATCGAACAGCTGAGCTGGCTGCTTCGAGTGGTGGAGCCCTTCTTTGGCGGTGGTTATTGAATAAGTCTCTGTTCCGGTGAGAGTTTCAATTACGCTCGCGAGGTTCTTGGCAAGACGCCGCATATCAGGAACAGTGTATGACTTTTTATTACATTATCATTTCAAGTTCTCTCTTTTTTGCTAAATTTTACTGTTTTTCAACATTCAGGGTTGTTTATCATTTTTTCAGTTGTCACTGTTTTTTTCCTTGTGTTGTTATTTTTTCTATTGTGTTATTGTTTTTTTCCTATGTCATAGTCTTTTTGTAGTGTAAATGCAATTGCATCTCTCTCTCTCTCTCTCTCTCTCTCTCTCTCTCTCTCTCAATATATATATATATATATATATATATATATATAGTAGCGTGATCATAGAGATTTTACACCAAAGCTTCTAGTGGGTACTTTTTTATGTAGACTGATCTAATAGTCACTAGGCAAAATGCTCAAAATTAATTATCAAGGCCTACCAAATTTAGTTCATCACTAAATAAGAAATATCTATTACATATTTATTATGATCTAGTCCTATTAGGAAAGTATTAAAGGTTAATAATAAAAACAATTATGACTCCTCTTAAATATTATTGGATTGACCCAAATAGTTTTTATCTTTACCCATCTAATTTATTAAACCTATTTGGATTAAAAAAATTAAAAATAAACATAATAGGTTCTAGATATTTCTAATTCTTTGGTCAAATTACCAAATAACGGGTTGACCCCCTATGTGGGTTTAATTGGGGCACACCATTGTTAGGTAAATCTTTCTAATTTTTTGGTCAAATTGCCAATTTGTCCTCTCTTTTTCTTTTTCTTTTTCTTTTTGGGTCATTATATAAACACTAGTTTGTTCTCTTAATACCACCGTTTTATAATTATTGAGGGAGATTAGTTAATATTTATCTTTCTCTCTTAACTTTCTAATCAACCCAATTAGGTGTACTTATTAACTACACAATAAATTACCTCTATATAACAAAAAAAAAATGCAATTGATTGGCCAGCATTTAAAAAACATGGACAATTCAATATTCTAAATTTCAGCAATGATGACAAGTAATATCTATACAGTGGAATTTGGTAAATATATTGGACTTTCGTCCCCAATAAAAAAATGGCATAAGTATTAAATTGAAGTTTAAAAAAATTACACTGACTTATTAAATCAATTTTCCGAACATTAACTCATCAAATACCACCACTTTTGGACTTTTAACCTAGCCACATCACCAAAGCCTTTAACAACCATTTATTTAACCAACTAAACAATCAAGTGACCAATTGATTAAACTATTCAAAAGACTTAGAGTCCTGGTCATAAGAGCAGGGTCTGAGTTTAATTTTTTTTTTTTTTAACCCAAACAGGTATAATAAATTAGCTAGATTAAGATAAAAAATCATCCGGGTCATTGGATCAATTTTTTATTATTAAGAGGAGTCAGAATTTTTATTTTTATTAACCTTTAAGACTTTTTTAATAGGACTAGATCACAATAAATATGTAATACATATTTCCTATTTAGTGAAGAACTAAATTTGGTAGACCTTGATAATTAATTTTGAGCATCTTTGCCTAGTGACCGTAAAAATTAAAAAAAATTAAAATTAAAATCTTTTCAAGGGATATCCATTTTTTTAGGGAGATAGATAAGATATCCCGACGCAGTGGCGTCTTGATCCTATTAGGAATGAAAAAAACAAATTCCAAGGAGTCAAAAAAATTGAAAATTTTGATCTATGTCCAACGGATCACATCTATCAAAGAAAAAGAAGGATTTTGGCCAGAATAGAAGGCATGCAGAAAGTACAAGATAATTTTTACTCCCATAATCTTGAAATGCCTGAAGAACAACTTCAAATTGATTATCAACATATCCTTGAACAAGAGGAGATTCTTTGGTATCAAAAATCTAGATCTAATTGGATAACTCTTGGAGATAGAAATACTAGATAATTTGATGTGTCCACAATTGTGAGAAAAAAAAAAAGAAACAGACCACAGTCCTTGAAAAATGACCAAGGAACATGGGTAATAGGGAAAAATGAAATTGAAGAGGTAATCCAGAACTTCTACAAGAATCTTTTTGGGATTGAGAACTGCAATTACAGTGACTCTAACTAATATAGTCATCAAGCAAAGCTTGATCAGGTTGATAAACAGATCTTTGAAGCCCGGGTCATGGACTTTGAAATCAAATCACCTTTCAAATCACCTGGACCTGATGGGTTTCAAGCCATTTTCTACCATAGATATGAGGATGTCATTGGAACTTACTGTGCCAACAAATCAAACAAATTCTAAGTAGAAAAGAGTGCCCCGAGGATACTAATAAAACATGGATTGCTCTTATCCCTAAGGTTGATAACCCTTCCTTACCTTCACAGTTTAGATCATTAGCCTGTGTAATGTTAGTTACAAAATTGTGCTTAAACTGTTGGTTTCAAGACTTAGATCTTTTCTTGATAAACTTATCTCCCCTTATCAGAGCAGCTTTATTCCTAAGAGACAGACAATTGATAATGTTATTTTCACCTAGGAAATTATTCATTCACTAAAGAAAAGAAAAGGTAAGAATGGAGGGAAGGTCATAAAATCGATCTTGAAAAAGCTTATGATAGAGTAAGTTGGCATTTCCTTTACCAAGCGCTGATAGATTTCAACTTCCCCTAATCTTGGATTGACTTAATTATGACTTATGTGATAGGTTCATCCCTGTCTATCTTATGGAATGGATCCCCTTTGGATCCAATTAAACCTAAAAGAGGATTTAGACAGGGAAACCCATTATCACTGTGACAACCCGTATATAAATTAATCATTTAATTAGGTCATCAATTATGATTCTATATAATTAAGGGTGATATTTAAAAATTTCAAATAAATAAATAGACTTCAAATAGAAATTCTTTATGTGAAAACGGATCGAATAACTATAATATAGGTCATATTTTGAGTTAAAAATGATGTGGTATTCCAATGATATAATAAAGGTGTAATATATTTATATACACATACATATATATAGGTGTCCAAATATAAGAGTATGAGTCAATTACCATGTGCTCAAATTCAAAAAAAAAAGAAAAAGAAAGGTAAGTAATATGGACAACTGTCCATGTGATGCTTGGGTAACAAGCATAAATTTGCTATAAATAGACAAGTCAGGCCAAGCAAAAACGCACAGAAGAAAAGAGAGAAAGAAAGGAAGGGAGAGAGAGGGAGGAAGAAGGGAGGGAGAGAGAATAGAATAGAAGAAAAAAAATTCATGAGATCTTAGGGTCAAAAAAAAATTGAGCAGTGATTTTATTTTAAATTGTTATCAAATTTGATTATTTGATTCGGGATATTTCGAATTTTTTATCTATTAAAGTCATTGATGGATTTAAAATACGGGGTAGTATACAATATGCTCCTGTCTTTTAAATCTTTTTGCAAAAAGCGTCATTTCAATATCTGAAATTTTGNTTGATGGATTTAAAATACGGGGTAGTATACAATATGCTCCTGTCTTTTAAATCTTTTTGCAAAAAGCGTCATTTCAATATCTGAAATTTTGTAATCTTATTGATTATTCTGATTTATATGAAATTTTGTCAATGTTATCGGTTGACCTTTGCGTGTACATTGAGCTAAATATTTTGGGATTGATTGGTACATGTACGAAGTGTACTTGGGGGCATAATTGGTGAAATGTGATTATGGTCCTGCGGGGTGCGATTATGATTACAGCCCTGAGGAGTGTAATGGTTCGATATAAGTATGAAT